CTCTGTGTCTCATTATTCTTGATTAGTTGTGTCATTTTAAGTGCTTCCCTCAACACAGTGCTATAACCAGGCCATGGCTGGGTTCCCCGAGAGCAAGGTGCAGCTTCAAGAAAAAAAAGATAAAAAAACCAAACCAAAACAAAAAAACCCTCTGCTGTCTACAGCTTACAATTTAATGTCTGACCGCATAGTCCTGAGAGCCTTTCCTCTGGATCCCTGGTCCGAAATATGTTGCCTAAAACCACACAGGCCTTTTTTCCCCCTCTAAAACATATGTTTCATACTGTCCACCCTCGCTCTTTAGGCTTCTCTTAAATTGCTGCTTTCCAGGTGTCCTCCATATGTATGTGAATGAGCCTGCATATTTCAGAAGTGATTTTTACATCATAGCTTTCAGGTGGTTTGCCCCATTCCTCAGTATCCTCTGTATCTGTCTTTTTTTTTTTTTTCCTCTACCCTGGTGTGTTCAGGACTGTGATCAATGCAGCACAATAAGCAGACTTCAGTGTTCTTCGTACCTTTGCTTCAGGTCACTATCCATTACATGTTTGTTTCCTTCTGGAGCCGTTTGGGTTTGGGGCAGTTGTTCCCTTTGGAATGTCCTCATTGCCTGGAACCTGCTCAACTCTTGACCAAACCTTGGAAATTCAGATTTCCATGCTATAGCTCCCAGCATATTTTGGGTACCCTAATGTAGGAGCCAGGAGAAGCTCCTCATTATTTCTCACCTCTCAATTCATAGCCTTTTCGAGGATGAAAAACGGGGAACTTGTATTTATTTGAGGCTGATGTGTAAAGTCTTTCCACTGCATTCAACATGTGCTTAATTCTGAGTCTGTACGCGGTTGCACAGGGTGCGACTTTCCATAGCCAATGCCTTGGACAAGTAGCAGTACAAAATAGTAGGGGGCTCCAGGAAAGTAGTAGTGTAAGCTTACATAGGAAAAGCCATACTTTGTCAAAGAGCCAGTTAATTTAGTATCCCATCTGCAACCGTGAGCAGGACCCGCAAGTCAAGACTGTGAAAGGAAGGTGAGCCTGGAGAGATACTGTTCCCAGCCAGCATTTCAGGTTCTTTGCTTGACTGATTTGAACAGTGGTTTCTCATAAGAGTGCTGTTTTCTGATCGAACAAATTGTGACAATAAGTGTGGTAGGGCTGAAGTTTATCTGGTACACTTGTGTTTGTTCAGAGTTGATAATATGGTGGAGTAGTGGTAGGGCAGTGATATTTGCAATGTATTTCCTGCAAAGAATGAGAAACACTTGGAAATGTACGTTAATGAGTACGTTAACTCATAATTCTGCTGAGAATAGACATGATCATCGTCATCATTTTCACCAAAGAGGAAACAGGAACAGAGAATTCGTGACTTGTTCTAGGTCACACACTGCGTGTGGAGAACGGCTGGGAGCAGAGCTCAGCCCTCCTTGTCTTGTGCTTCAGCCACAAGATGATCTTTCCAAGTAATTAGTCTTCAGCGCCCGTCAGAGGACACGGTATTTTGCTTTCTGAAGCATGATCTGCTCAGCTTCTTTGTACAGAATAGTCGCACATCCCTTTGCTTGCTTAATACTGGTGAGGAGCATAGATGTTTCTAGCAGATGCGACTTAAAGCCTGTGAGAATGTGCGTTTGCAAATATGCAATAAACCAGTTGTCTCGTTTAATGCCAAAGACTCTCCTTCCCTTGTGTGGCAATGGGATGGGTCCTACCACTACTCTGTAATGTTTACTTTATAGGGAAAGTTTGCTCACTGCAAGCATCTGGAATTCTTTATAATATAGAAAAATTTTGCCCAAAATATAGATTATCTTTTGACTTCCTAAAATACACAGTCTTTATGATGAGAGGAGGAAAAAGGAGCATAAAAAACGTCCACCATCAGCTCTCCTGGTCCAGTATTCCTGCTCTGATCAGGGCTAAAGGAATCACTCAGTAGAGCAAAACTTCTACAATATCTAATCTAAACTCCTGGGTTTATTCCATTGTTAACAGCATGGGTTTCAAAGTTACTGTAATTCAATTCGTTTACTAGTCAAAATGCCCTTGCAGGAATGGTTCCTGAAAGGGAAACTGGAACGCTTTTCATTGCTTTGCAGTTTCCCCTGGAACATGTGAAAAATCTTACAGCACCTCATATAAAAAGAATATAATGCATATAAAACTGAACCAATCCACAATTTAAGAAACCTCTGCCGCTTCTCTTTTCATGTTAAGCATCATCTTCCTGATGTAATTTATTCTTTCCCACAAGTGGGACCAAAACAAACCTTCACCACATTTCACAAGTCAGTAGAATTTGAAGCTTATCAACCATCTCGAGGGTACTGACCAATGTCATTTATGGCACAGGGCTTTCTTCATACTGTGCCAGAAGAAAAAAAAAAAAAAATGCAGGTTAAGCAGAGAGCTTATCTGTTCCCAAAAGCATGTGTTTCTATTGCCTGTTACTGTTATCCCAAGCACCCTCAAGCTCAGAAAAGTGGGATGTAATTTGACTGCTCTGCAAGAACCAGGGCAGACGGTAAAAGGGATGCATGCGTAACTGCAGCACAGAAAATCACGAAAACCTCTAAGTGATGACCTCTGGCATTTATACCTTAATGCTATTATTTGAGTCACTTTGCTATGTTTATCTGTCTGTCCTGTGGAGTTCAAGTGGTGGAAGACCCTGCTGTACTAGGTACGTGCATAGAGGCAGCAAAACGGTAACCCCTGCTGCAAAGCTGTCCTCCTCTTGGTCCTCCCTGCCAACTTCCTCTCTGTATGACCCGGTCTCCAGGAGGTGTTTGTGGTGACCAGAGCCAGCAGGGTTCCTGCCACCGGGTGCTGGCGACCGCGGACTCCAGACCTCCTTCCATCCTGCGCCCCGTGCTGCAAGGGGCTGCTCTGCAGTGCGGAGGCTGCTGGATGCTTGGAGGGGGCAGCTGCTTCAGATGCTGGTTTGGCTTACTGGAGGTGGGCAGTGGGGAGAAGAGGGAAATAGAGATGGCTTGTTCATCACGTCCTCAGCTGCAGCCGTGCTTCTGGCACAGGCTGTCCCCTTCCTTTCAATGGAAAGGGCAGTGCCGGCTTCTGCTGCAGCTGCCCACCCTCTGGTTTAAGCGCACACTGGTTGGCGTTGCCTGCACGGAGAAGCAGCTGCTCTGAGAATGGTTCGTTATTGCTGACAGAAAACGCAAAGGCAAATATTTGTGTGTTATAAATGCAATATAAAACTTAAGTGCTGTTTAACCAGGTTGCCCTATGGACTTGGGTAGGCCTCGGTCTGTATAACACAATAGCCTGCCTGCAAGAACTTGCCCCTTTTTATGACTTATTCTTCTTTGAAAATGGTCCAAAGTTCACGCAGTAGAGGAAAGACTGTTGTTGGACCTCCACGGGATGGAGCAGTGATGGCAGAAAGTTGCAAGGTGGGCTGCAGGAGGGTGCTGCTCCACAGGCTGCACTGGCACCCGGCGCAGTCTGCTGTTGTGTCTGCTCCGTGACAGCAGGGTTTGGTGTGACACTTCACCTCTGGGGAAATGCAAGTTTCCTGATTTCCCTTTGTGTGTCACTGCAGCATGCAGTCATATTCATGATGTGGTGCCTTGCGGAGAGCTCAACACCGCAGTAGAGGAGTGACACTGACTTATGACTGAGGCTCTGGGACATCCTGGTTCTTGTCCCATACCCATGCAGCCACCTCGGCTGCTCTTCACAGTGCTTCCCTTGGTTACCTTTTTTGTTTGCTTTTTCAGGGTGTGAGTTCTCTGGGCTGAGGGCTTGGTTTTCTTTGGTGTTTGTACTGCGCTTAGGATGTCATGGCTGCAAACAAAGTCAAAGAGTCATTAATCACCGCAGGATAGAGCCCCGTCCATTTCCCACCGAAGTAGCGGGGAGGCCCAGGCCCATGTGGACTCGGGAAGGGAGCAGGTACGTCCCCCTGGCCGGCTGCCATCACACAGGCTGCAGCATCCAACCCTCACCCTTATTCTCCAGGTCCTCTTCTGCCCATGACCCCACCAATGTCCCTGCGGTGGAGGGGTGTTCCCCATGCTACTTGGCCAAATGTGTTCGTGGTGGCTCCTTACTGCTTCCATGCGATGTCCCCGACGGAGAGGCTGGGGCAGGGGCTGTGGCGGAGGGCAGTGCAGTGAGCAGGCAGAGAGCTGAGACCCAGAGCTGCCTCTCAGCTCTGCAGAACCCGCTGGCTGCTCCCCTCTTAAAATCTAGATAAAAGAGACCAGGAAAAGGCTATGTTCAGTAAAAGAGCCAAGCTGGCCGGTTTAATCCACCCTGCAAGAGCCAATTAGCAAAGGAGGGGAAAAAAAAAAAATGAGGTCATTCACCCTCACCACTTTGTGGCTACTCCAAAAGAAAAAAAAATATATAGGGTCTGCTCAAGAATGACAAAGAACAACATTTGTGACTGCAGATGGGTGCAGAATATATTTAGTCAGTGGTCAAAGTGGAGGGAAAAGAAAAAAAATCTTGTATGGAAAAAAAAATACTGTGAAGTTTTGTTAGGCAACCCATTAATCTGGAATACAGATAGGGAAAAATGTGCTACTAGATTCATATGGAGTCCTAAAAATTGCTTATGTAGCACGCAAGGGAGTCTATTTTGAGCATGTTATTTGCCACAGCAAATAGTTTTGCCTTATGAGCATCATGTTCTTCAATAACTTTTCATTGTTCAGTAGCAAGAACAACGAGATGATACCTTGAATTTGCTCTCAGGAAAAAAAAAAATCTCCCTTGCAATACCACATGTAGTAAAACAAGCTGCTTACGGAAACAAGCTAAAGCCCGTTCAAATCAGGGAGGAATATTTCCCCCAACTTGACTGTCCCATGGTCCCTGGCAGAGCTGGTTCCTTCTGGTGACACCTAAAGAGTAAATGAACCAATTCTTAGACCAGTCCTGAGCGCTTTAATACAGGCAACAATTGCTTCATGCTGGAGAAGGTGCAGATCCGATCATGCAATTCTCGCTATAACTCACGCCAAGGCGGAATGGTCTGCAGGTGTTACATGCATCCTCTCTATATGGCCGTCATCCAAAGTAAGGGCTACAGCCCTCCTGCTACCCTTTGTATTTCTGCCTGCAGAATATTCAGCATTTGTTCCATGTGCAATTCTAAAATCCAGGAGAAGAAAGCCAAAGCCAAGCATCAAGCAGTGAAAGCAGGCTTCCCCTCTTCCCTACGAGCTTTCTCATTCTCCCTGGCAGCTCAGCTTGGATTGCAGGGTCTCACCTCGCACCGTAAGATATTAATATGTTATGTTGCACTCTGGTGGCATGCTGGAAGGAAGGGGTACATAAACAAATTGATTTTTAAGCATAGAAAGTCCACGTTGAACTCCTAATCTGTTGTCCAGCCCAAAAAATCTCTCGTAGTCATTTCTTCCTTAAGACTGGACTTCAGCTGAGGAAGCATAGAAAAATAATCTGCTGAACTAAAATGCAAGAGGAACATGCTCCCCATAAATTATTGTGTCTTTAGTGCCTTTTTTATTATTATTATTAATATTTTAATTAAGCACAAATGGGCATAGAGTTACTCATGGCGAGTCATTGAGACCGTACCTGGAGCGGTGAGACTGCTAAGCTTTCCTATAGAGCGGTGCTACTGCACCTGTTTAATCCAGAAGAGATTTGCCTTTGCAGGCCTTCTCACAAGCACATCCAGGTGTTAGTTTTGATAATGTCATTATTCTGCAGTTTTTATTTCTGCTCGTTATGGACTGTTGTCTTGCTCTCAAGCCTTTTTGTTAAATATTTGGGGTTTTTACTCTCTGATTAATCTTTAAAGTATTCCACCTAGTAGCTATTAGTCTTTGAATTGCTGTGGCAGTGAGGACACGTAGGTTGAAGCGTGAGGTTTTGCACCAAAGCGCAGGAACATGCGGATGCCACCAACCGCCCAGCCGATGAAAACGTTAGGTGTACCCTTCTGCCTGCTGTATGAAGATGACTTTGTCTCTGAATGACGAATGCTGCGCACGTGATGGTGAGTTTTCAGTCGGCAGAGGAAAGCTGGCTGATTCACACGTTCGGTCGGTAGCCGTTTCAGCCCTGCCATCTATCACCGCCGTCATCTCCCATCTGATATACCTGAGGTTCCTGTCTGCCGTACCCCCACCGCCCCGCTGCAAGAGTGGTCAGTGCGGCACTTCTCCTTCACGTAGTCTGCCGGCCAGAAATAACTCTGGTGGGTTTGAGATTGATGAATGGTCCTTCCCGTTGGCGGAGCAGCACCAGTCGCTCAGGTGTTTGCTTTTTGCTGCGTGCTAAAACAGAGGGGCGAGGGGAATAGTCAGGATGGGGCTTTTACCACCATTTGCCCGCTCCCTGGCTGCAAGTTACAGTTTTCTCTTGACATCTTTATTATTGGTTTTATCCCTCATGTTCTTTCTGGCTTCTTTAGGTATTCAGGCTCTAGCAGGGTTTCAAGGACCTATTTTTAAGAGTGAAATAATATTTAGTTTTTAGCTGTTGCCATTTCCCGGCTATGTTTTACCACGTGGTGGTAGTTCTGTGATGTGGTTTACTGGTCACTGGAAAGTTGACATCACCAAAAGCATTTCATTCACAAGCTAAGATTTTTGTGAGGAATTACAGACCTGCAAGAGAATAACTGGAATTGCAAAGCTGTGACTTGTGTGCCGTTTCGACTGAATTTTTATCAACAGTGAAGACTGCCTATGAAGGAACTGTTGCATTCAGCATCCATGTGATTATGATTAAGTCTTTAACATAAGACTCCCCTTTCCCCTTATAAATTCTCAGTTGTAAAAATTTCCAGAGTCGTTCATGGTGTGCGTTACTATTATGTGCCTCAATAGAGTGCCTGGGAGCACCAGCCATGGAGCAGCACCCATCGAGAGCCAGATCCTATCTTTATTCTTAAATAATTTTTCCGCCAGACCTCTGAAACTGGCAGTGAGCTGAAGAAATCTGCGTTTTGCTTCGTGATTCTGCTCTCCCAGATGAGGTGGGAAGCTTGGAGGGCTGTGGGCACACAGTTGGTCTGAGAAGAGTGCGAGCAACTCATGTTTGAAGGTGAAAAAGCAGCAGATGACTGCAGAGGCCATCCTAGCAGGGCACCGGGGTGCTCTGCTTGCATGGGCTACTTCAGATCAGGAAATGTTGGTCAAAGCTCAGTCCTCTTGACAAAGGCAAATAAAGCCCCAAATCTGCAGAAATATAATAGTTCTACAGCAGGAAAGATTAAGGACCTCGAAAGCAAGTGGTGTGAATAAATGCAGTCTCTGAAGCACGAAGAACAAGTGGTGCACAAAGCAGGAGGCACCATAGTTGGCTTTCCCATAGGGGCTTTGGTTCTGCGATACTAAATGGAGAACAAAAATGTGCTTTGCCCAGTGAAACGATGACAGATGACTTGAATGCTCTCCAGAAACAACTACTCTGAGCAAGAAGGTGTCATCTTAAGATACGTAGCCCTTGATGTGTCCCTTTACACCTCAATTTTTGCAAAACTAAGATTATCGTTAATGAGCAATCTTCATTGAGGCCTCAGCTTCTTGTTCAGAAGTGACATGGGAAAAAGACTGTGGAAACCCCCGAGCTTGTTCTTCCAGATTTTTTCTTTTAAAGGAAAGAGGCCCGTGCAATTCTATCTTCTCTGAAATGTCTGTCTGAATATTCATCTGAGCGAGAAAGTAATTTTAGCATCCATGACACACAGCTTCTGCTGCCATCCGATTGCTCAACGGCACCAAGAATAAATATTTCCTTAAGCCCGAGGACAGGAATCTGAATGCTGCTGGTTCCCCCTTCAGAAGCACCTGTGTGTGTGTTTTTTCAAGGTCTGAGTAACACAGTGGTGCTTTGTAGCTCTGAGTCATCGAAGCTCTCCGACGCTGCAAGCACACTCTTGCTTAGCGTCCTTTTCAACAGATGGCGGGGGGGAAGAAGCTGAAAAGGCTGCCTGCAGCTCGACACCGAAACACAGTCCTCCTGCAAACCTTGACATAAGCATGCCTGTTTTTCCAAAGAAGTCATTGGTGCTACTCGTGCTTTAAGGTAAGCAGGTGTTGGCATGCTTCACCGAACCGGATCTATCAAGCCCAGAGGTTTGTCTTTTTTTCCCCTGGATTCTTCCCCAGTCAGATATACTTGTTCTGACATAATGTTAATCAAGCGGGAAAGCTGACTGGTTTTTAGGAACTAGTGCAAACTTGTGCGCTTTGCACGCTTTTTAAGTGACAAATTAAATTTACACAGGATACTTAGAGCTCTTTGAAGCACTCATTTGCATGTGGTGGTGGGATTTAATGGACAGCTTCATCAACAGCGAGACTGTTAAAGGAATGACCAGGCTGGATTTTGTTTTATTTAATCACTTCAGAGGAGGTCGACACCTTCGCATTCATCGAGGCCCCTTCTCTCTCTAGATAAGAGCTCAGTGATGGCCACATCACTCTGACCCACAGGCCAGCACCCGATGAGAGGAAGGATGTTCCAGGGGTTACGGGGCGAACTTGAGACTTGGGAGACTTGGTTTGGTTTCCTGTCACCTCCGTAAAGCCAGCCGGCCTCCGGGCGCGAGTTCCTCATCTGCGAAATGAATTGCACTTCCCCGTCTCAGAAGGACACTGTGGCGGGAATGCGCTGGTGATGGTGAAGCGTCAGGTCATCGTGGTGCCAGCAGCCCCCAAGGGAAGCTGATGTGCAGTTTGACGACGAGATGCACACAGTCCCCTGGCCGAGGGTTAAATAAGGGATAACCTGACTTCAAGGGGGCTGTGTTAGCAAAAGGGGCCAAGTTCGGCTCCCGCCCTAAGAAAACCCCAAGTCGCTTTTGTTTCCCTTCCTGTCCTCTCTCTCCCCAGCTTTCATGCTCAGCAGGTCCAGCCAGTCCACACCAGGCCAAAATCCCTCGCCTCTGCGAGGAAGCTGGGCTCACGTGGGGGTTAGCATATAGACGCTGAGAGCCTTGTCTTTGTGTTGTTGAGCATAAATCAAAGGAAGGAGTAGTGCAGCTCTGCGAAGGCATTGGCTTGTGTGAAAAGGGGAAGGACACGGTCACAGAAGAGACTACTTATTGACACAGAGTGTAGATTTATGCAGCTGCAGCTGTGAGTATACCGTAACAATAGCCCTCTTTATACAATAAAGCAGGGTTGTACGAAACGGTTTCCAAAAGGTGGCTGAGCAATTAGCCTGCTCTCCTAGCCTCGGTGCCAGGGCATTACTGCTTCTCCTCCAGATGAGTTGTGATTCTCAGAAATTATTCCAGACCCTTTAGCTGAATGCTCTTTAGCAGATTTGCATATCCTTCCTTAAAAAGGATGACTTTGCCCTTGTTTGACACTTCAGTAATTTTTTTAGTCTTCTCTTCTAAAGAGGAACTATCAAACTGGGGCAAACGAGGAAGAAGAGGACTTTCTGTGACAAAAAGGGAGTGACTGGTCTTATCACTTCTGTTGCCTTTTTGGGTGGCTGGGAATAAGGGAATCAGTCGCTTAAGACCTTGTCTCTCCTGCTTGGTCCCCCAACGTCACCTCACCCCCGTCCTCGCCAGCGTAGTGTCTTAGCAGGCGTCGCCTGAAGCGCTTTATAGAAAAGGAGCTCCTTCGATTACAGGAGTGTTTTCAGCGTTTCCCCTGGGACACTGAGCGGTGTCACTGTTCAGCTGCCAGGCTGGCCCGGCTTTCCATTTCCTAGATCACCTCTCGCCTTGCCAGCACTGATTATTATCCCGTGCCCCTCCTGGGAGGTGCTGCACAAGCATGAAATATAACGTTTGTTCCAAAAACCGTGTAATCTCATCACAAGAAAGGTACTGCTAATGAATGCAAAGAAAGAGACAAGGAAACAATGAGACAACAGAAGACTTCTTGCAAGACTAGACTCTTAATTTGACCTGGGATTGTTGCAATGATTAAAAAAAAAGGGCTATAACTTGTTTATAAGCTGCAAAAATACATCAACTGAAGACCTCTGACTTGAGGTATTTACTCTGTTCCAGACACAGCTAATGCAGTTTTGATAAACACAAGTCATGCACCAACACAAAGCGCAAACTCCAAGCCAAAAGGTGGTGTGTTAAACGAAAATTTCAACCTTTATGGTCATGTTTAAGTTACAAGACCCTTCCTGGCATTAGAAGAGGACAAGGTGCTGAGTGGAAAATATTTTCTCTTTAAAGAGATTGCTATTGCTGAAACAAGAAAAGGAGGAAAGAGAAGTAAAGAGTTGGAGGAAACAAGGGGAGAACACTAAGTAGAGGAATGGAAACCAGTATCAGTAGGCACAGGACTGTCATATGCTATTAGACAGCAAAAGCTCCCTTTCACCAGCAGCAGCAGCTTTATTGCAGCTTTCTCCAAGTAAATGAGATTTTAACAGGCGTATCCAATGATGAAGCATTCCTTGCTACGGGCCAGATTTTGAATGATCTTATCTATTGCAAGATCAACATCTGCTTGTAAGATTTGAGTTTACCTGGAGGACTGCTGCCGGGAGACTCCTGGGCAGCCAAAGCGGGGTCAGCGAGGGACTGGGCACGGTGCTTGGCTGGCCGGGATCCCCAGCACAAGCCATGCCCCGAAGCCCGGCTGAGGGAGCCGCGTGTGCTGGGCTGCAGTAAGGACCGCTGTGTGTGCAGGGAGGTGATGTGAAGGCCCGTAAGAGCTAGAGGCAACACTGCTACTTGCTTTGCAGGTGCCCTCTTATGTGACAGTTTCAGGTGGTTTGGGGGGGGGGGTGGTTTGTGTTGTTTGGTTTGGTTTTTGAGAAGCAAAAAGCTCTTGCCTGAAATTGTATCACCTCTCTGGATGGCTGCCTCAGTTCCATGAGACCATCTCTGCAGGACACAGTAGGAGCCATAAAAAGCTGCAAAATTAAAGCCAAATATTTTCTGGGGCTAGCCAGGAGTATTGTGTATCCCAGTGGGAAGCTGGGAACTTCTTCTTTTTCAGGAGCATAAATCATTCACCTTACTTGTTTGCTTAATGCTATACATTAAAACTGTCAGTTGCCCAGGTCTTGGTCTGAGGTCATATCTGTGGAAGAGACTACAGAAGTATCTCTATGCCAATTTTTTTTTCTTTACTTTTGTTTTAAAGTCATAGGTTTCAAATAATAGAGTACTGTAAGAAGAGGTTATATAGCAGGCCAAAAGTTCATGACAAATTGCAAGATTGTGTTATTTATTTATTACCTGGCTGTATTACAAGTCCCTGTGCATACAGCATCAACTACATATTCTTAGCGTGTCTACAAAGTGCCTTTGAAGTCATAAATGTTGGGGAATTTTTTACTGCTTAGCTATCCAGAAGAAAAGTTTTCTTCCTCCCTTCCAGCACTGTGACAAGGTAGGTCTGAAGCTCTCCAGGTGTATTGGTTCTCATGTCCTTTCTCTTCTCCGCTCCAGTTCTCACTACAAATCACTCCGCCGTGTGAAAGCGAACAACACTATGAATACTCTGGACGGTGCTGCACAAAGTGTGAGCCAGGTATGTGAGCACTGGACTGTACTGGCTTCGTAACTGCAAAGCTCGTTAGGAAACAGCTCTGTGGGTCAGTAAGGCAGCTTGCTCTTGTGACTGCTGATCTACTGGCATGTACCCTGGCAGGTGCGTGATTTCAGGTTTATGAGTGCCTTCTAGTTCAGGAGCGGTCCTGCTGACCTCAGCAAAAGCCATAGCAGCTCTTTTATTGGGAGAGTAGAAACCACCGCGGGAGACAGAAAGCAGCTTGATTCTCGTGCATATAGAAAGGCTGGCTCCCAGGCCATAAAAGCTTCATGGATGTTTTGGGGCTCCACTAAATGGGGGCCAGCCCGAGGAACCGAAAAGCTGCCAGGAAGAAATTAGTGTCACCAGCAGTACAGCAGTGTTAACCCAACCTGTCATTATCCCTAAACTCCTTAGGCAGCTGGTGTGCAACTTGCAAACGACCTACTTGTCCTTCTCTCATTCACAGGAAAGTATATGTCTGCTAGATGCACTGGTACTTCTGACAGTGTGTGCCAGCCGTGTGGCCCAAATGAATATATGGATGTCTGGAATGAAGAAGATAAATGCTTACTACATAAAATATGTGATCAAGGTGAGCTGTTCGTACTGAAGAACCTTTTAATCCAAATTAGTGAAGCACAGAGATGGGAAAGTGCATCTAAGGAAGCTGCTTTGTTCAGGTACACAACCCTGGAGGCTGGGCTTGCACAAGAGCCTGGCGAAGAGGGAGATCCCCAGGCAGCAGAGGTTCTGTGCGGTGCTGAGCACCACGACCACAGTCTCTGTGCTGCTGGTAATGAGTTTCTTCACTGGGGCTATTCACTCCTGTGAGTTGCATCTTAAAGGCTGTCCTTTTGCCCAGCATATTGTGCATTCACTTCTCCTAACGTGTTTGTCTCACCTTTGCAAAAGCTCTGTTTATTTTCAACAGCAGCTACAAGGAAAAAAGTATTGCTCAGGGGTGCAGTCAGTGAGGAGCCCCGTGCTGATCAAGGGTCTCCCAGGCTTCTTGAAAGATAAAGTTTCCTCTAACATGAATGGGTTTGCATCTGGCATCAAGTGAAGCAAATAGGTACAACAGGACATTCATAAACTTGAGGCTTATTACCAGAGAGATTTTTACTCCCATCTGCTTTCTCTTTTAGGGAAAGCTTTGAGAGAAGTGAACCCAGGGAACAGCACATTCCAGCGGCAGTGTGCTTGTACAATGGGCTACCACTGGAATGAAGACTGCGACTGCTGTCAGCGAAATACCATATGTGCTCCAGGATTCGGAGTTGAGCATCCTGGTAAGATACACAAAAGGGATGTATGAAGTGAAATGTCCAGCCCAGGTCTACAGGATGAGGCCAGCATCAAGTGGCGTTAGAGAGGATACTTTAGACTCCCAGATGGCTGTCAACAGAAGATGCCTACCTGAGTTATCATCACTACTGCATATAACCCTCCTGGACTGTTTGCACTTTGAAGGCCTCTACCTCTGTAGTTTAAATAGTTACTTTGGATCAAGTGATTTTTGCAAGATATCATATGGACATGGCAATAGTTGCAAGACGTTCAGTGCATTTCTAATGTTTGCTGAGGTGTCTGACTGTGTGTCACTAGGTCATGCATTGCTCCAGTATTCAGAGAAGCAGTCCATTGGGGATTGTTCCTGCGGTCAGATTTGAAATCAGTTTTTGTCCAATGACTTGACTTTCTCATTTTATAATGTTATAAGCGAGTTAAACGTGATTAACATCTTTCAGGTAGCACAAGTATTCTGTTTTAGATGACTTGTAATGCAAAGACATTTAATTTAGTCTTAAGTCTAATTGTAAAACAAAATGCAGGTGTTTTGTGGGTGGAAAATAGAGACAGTCAAATTCAGAGTTGTAATGAACACTGGGAACAGCTACGCCAAGCATGAGGAACCCCAAATAAGCAGCACATAATGAAGTAATGGAGGATGAAATGCTGCATGGGCTTGGAGCACAGTGGTGGTGGTTTTTTCTCCAGTCTAGCAAATCCTGACACAGCATTGTTTACTGTGGCTTCACAGAAGTGACAATACCTGTTAGCGTCACTGTCTGTGGCATAGCATGGACAGGAGGAAGTTAATGGCAGGGGAAGGATATAATAGCTGTGTGTTATTTTACAATAACTGCAAATGGCTCCTGGTCATTTCTCATTTTCATCATGTAGAGAAGTGCTCAGGTGAGACAAGCATACTTTTTTCTGTTTACACGTGACTATCATTGCTGCTCTAATGTAGTCTAAGATCCTTCTCTCTTCAGGGGAGCTTTCAGGGAAGTTGGGGGTTTGGGGTGGAGTGGGAGGATGGGGAGCACAGTCACCTTCCCCTCACCTGAAAGGAACCCACGAAAACTCAGCTATGTTTTTCTTCCTTTGCTACACACAGTGCAACAAGACAAGGACACAACGTGTACACCATGTCCCAGAGGCTACTTCTCAAAGGTCGCTTCATCCACCGACAAGTGTAAAGCCTGGACCAAGTAAGTCTTGTAAAAGCACCACGACAGCCAGAAGGCAGGGAGAAGCTTGGGCGAAAGGATTTTTCGGCAGGGTGTTTCAGGCTGCCTGCAGGGCACACAGTGCATCTGTTGGCTGTGCAGTGATAAAGGCATTTTCACACTGAAGCTTGAATTCTTCTTGGGGGGGAGCAAGAGAGAGCAGTAACAACAGAACTGCTGCACTAACACAGCTGAAAATAAAGAAGGTATCTGAGCTTCTTAAGGGTGAATACATGTATGTTAAAACAGAAAGTACTACTCTGCATAAGTGTAGGAACCACAACAAACTCCCTCTTTGAGAACATAACCTCTTTGTTTTTCAGCTGTACAGCACTGGGAATGGCAGAAATAGTGCCTGGGACTGACAAGTCAGATGCAGTTTGCACAGAACGGAAGATGCCTGAGCCATCGGAAGATGGTACGTGTCCTCATACAGATTATCTGTTAGAAAGTACCAGGGAGGAGAAGGAATGTGTTTACTAGGAGGCCTGGCTGCCTTAAAACTCCATTCTCATTGTGGATGACTCTAGGGGGAGCAGCTGTGGACCAAGACAGCGCTCTTGGAAAATCCCAGCTTTAAACATTACTTTAAGCCTGGCAGCTCTAGGGCAAATGTCCACTACTAAGCAGAGCTTTTACGCCTCCCACTGAAACCGCATGGTGAGCAGCACTGTTGTTATACTCATGACCTCCATCACATTTACAGCGCTCTCATTTTTTCAGCCTACTAATTTCCATATACACGTTGTCTGTACAAGCTACTAGCGTCTCTCCGTGCTTTTTATAGCAATGGATACAGTCTCAGCTGAATGTAGCTCTCCTTTCTTGCCCACTGCCCATTTCCTTCTCCAGTGTGGGTATGGTACCAGGGAGGCTGCTTGCCTGGCATGCAGTGATCCTTCATAACCTGAGATAAAGGACAAATGTTGCCAACTGAATTCTGTAGACTCCATGAGATGTTTGCCCTCTGTCCCCTGAGGGAGAGCAAGCACAGCCCATGGGCTGCTAGCACATCGCAAGGGGACTTTCAGAGGAGCATGGCTGGGTCGCACCTCTCTGAGACACCAAGACTCGGGTTTTTATGGAGATGGCTTGGTACCGGGTACTTTCAGTAAGGCTGCTTGTCACAGAACTGCATGAGTGCTAGAGCTGTTGTCCTTATTATAGAAACTGAAAATCAAATAGGAAGGAAGAAAAGCCCTCTCCTGTGGAAAAGCAGGTAAAATAAGCAAGAATTGCCATACTGCTGAGTGCAAGCTGCATGTTCATGGCACTATCTTTTTCACATCTGCAGGAACAAACAGGATCTTATACGTGTTGATTGTCATCTTGTTTTTTGTGGCACTAATTGGCATTGTTGTCTTCATCATATACTACAAGAATAAGGGAAAAAAGCTGACAGGTACGTGATAGCTAATGATACTCATGAATGTGACAACTGCACGGCTGTCTGTGCACTCTGATTTTCTGGGTAGCCACCAGGTTAAGAAACTCAGGAGTTACTTTCCAAGTCCTGTATTATGCTGATACGTGTCCATATGGATATGCTTTAACTAGCACAAATCCAGGCTTCAAATTCCTTTCCTCTAGGCAGGGAGCCTATTACACTTATGCATAATGCATATTGCTTGGTATCCTCCTGCAGCCCTGACGGTGGGGTGACCACCTTCAGGGCGGACGCAACCACTCTGTGCATGAAGGAGGGTTGGTGCTGGGGGCTTTTATAGCAGCACGGCCACTCTGCACCACGTGGCACAGCAGATCCCATAGCCAAGGGAAAGACACAGGGGGCTTTCACCACCTCCTGTCTCCTTCTCGCCTCTTCCCCTGAAACCTGCATCTGGATGGGCTAAAACATGGATTTCAAGACAAAAGCTGGATGTGTTTTTGAAAACACCATGCAGGCAATGTTTTTAGCTGAAGGCCAAAGTTCTGATGAGGTACAGAAGAAATACCAGAAGGAATAGAATAAATAATAAAAGTAGAAAAATTCTAGCAAAGGCATACTGGGTAACAGTGGAGCATTGACTATATTATAAAAATTATGGAAATACCTCTAATAGTTACTTAACTCTGTGTTAAGTCCTGGATCTCCTTAGTTAAGGACATGCTCCTATTGTTCTGTTCATTTTTTATTTTCTCCCCATACATGTGGAAAGCTTTTCCCAGTGTAGTTTTTCCACCATCTCCTTTCCCAAGCCCTAGCAATTTATGAAATGTTTTGGGAGCAGTGGAAGGGAAGACCGCCTCTTGTAAAGTACATTTCAGCTTGTGTTTTAGAAATAGACTGCCTCTGCCACACTAAACATGGGTTGTACTAAATCTGGAATTCCTGGGATGGGCTGGAGGAAACGGTGACTCTCCTTGCAAACCAAATACTTATGATGCAAAGTAGGTTGAGGGGTGATGGTCTTTATTTGACATTTCTATTGCCCTGCTGCTCTGCAGTGACAGTTCTTCATTGCTTTTGCGTGGTAAATCCTGCTAACTGGAGGCTCTGAGACTTGCAGGCTCAGAGGAAGCTCTGCTTGCTTGGGAACTGGTGGTAAATGTGCAGACGTAACAGCAGAGGAACAGTCATTGCTGGGAATGGCAGCGGCTACATGGGTGATCTATCTTCACACACATAAAACCAGCACAGGCTTTGAATGTATACGAGACCTGAGTCCTACGAAAACTCCTGAAAGTATAAATAGAAAACAAGAATTGCTAACTCTATAAAAGTGGCAGTCGTTACCATAAAGCATTGTTGGACTTGAAGCTTTTCCTTGGGACATACTCCCGTTAAGTGAATTTCCCCATTAAGGTACACCCTGATGAAGTGGAATACACTGTATTTGAACGTGCCATCCCGTGGTTTCAGTGGCTTACCCTCTTCTCTCCAGGCTCCTCACTCCTGTCTGAGAATGGTCTTTGGGCCATCCATGTGACTTCTCTTGAAATAGACTGTATGGCTGCAAGCGGGTCGGTATCGGGCCAGTCATAGCTTGGTGTGACATATGACCAGGAAAGAAACCCCATTTGATGTGGAACACAGTTTAACCGTGGTCTATTTTAGGAGCTTGGAAACATTTGTTCCATAGAAATATATCTCTGTTCCAGTTACAATGAATCCTCAGCTAGACTGACGCTGGGACACTTGAACAGTCAGTAAAAACAGTCTTGTTGGTTTTCATTTAATATCATATTGCGGATTGTAAATGACTGTGGGTGTTTAGGTTTGTGGTTAACTTCACTGCCTGCTATACCGTACAGCTACTCTTTTTGTTTTCCCTGCAGCAGATCTACAGAATTGGGCTAACGAAGTGTGCAGCCAAATAAAAGGAACAAAGGTAAAACCAAAGGCACTAACATTTTCTCTCTTGTTTTATGTTTTCCTCATGGCATTCCCGACATCCATCCTAAAGCAGACTTCACGTTAATGTCTGGATAGAAAGCAAGTTTTAAGTTCCTCAAAAAATGCTCACAGCTTTGGCTTTTTTAGTCTGGTTTTCTGTAAATGTGAGGCATATGAAATCACTGCTCTCAAATAGTTTCTGAACCTGCTCTCTGGTTTCAGCCAGTTTCAACAGTGGTAAAAGTCTGCGCTGATGATCTAATATTTGTGAGGAGAAAGTTAAATGTGAGCCCACCGGTTGCTGAACACCTGAGAACTCTGCCTAGGAGAGAGTCTTTCTAAATCCTAAGAGCAGGAAAAGCTTTGGTTGAGTTTGTACCTTTTTACATACCAGAGTCCTCACAGGGGAGAAACTGGGATTTGGGACAATGCCAAGAATGCCAGACATGCAAGGCATTAAGCACAGAGCCATCAGATGAAGAAACTGGCTGTGAGACCCTTTAATGGTGGTGCTTGAAGAAATCACTCTTGTCCATTCAGCTGGAAAAAAAATAAGGCCTTCCAAGAGGTTTTGGTCCAGAAGATCCCCGTACCTCATGCTTGAAATGCTCAGATGGGGACACAGGTTCAAGTTCATGTGCACTCCCTGCTTCATGCCATGGACGTGGACTGAGGTTTGCTAGGTGCATGCTCTCCGCACCACCTGATCTAGGAGCTCTGTCCAGCTTAGCTGTCGAAAGACTCAAATTTCATTGCTACAAAAAAATCCCAAGCCCAAACCCACCTTTTCTGAGCAGGCAGTTCCTCTTTTGTCTCATAAGTGTTCATGCAACCTTCTGCATTGGCAGCTGCTCAGATCCTCTGGGACAGAAGAGTGAATCAACAGCAATTAGTGGCTGGCAGCATTTATGCTCTCTCCTCCGTCCGGGAAGATCTGAACAGACACTAGAAATGAAAGGTGGCAGTTCCCAAATACCCATCATTATAGCACAACTTGCGTGAACTGAAGGGAACCCTTGAAGTATCTCCCAACCCTTTTTTGTGGAGCTGCAACCAAAAATGTAGCTTTGCTTTGACAAGTACTGGCAACATGACATCATGGGCCTTTGCATTTGCTGCCCTAATGTTTTCCAGGTTAAAGCAACCTTGCCCATTTGACTCCCCCCCACCTCCCCCCCAGCTTCTCTTGGGCCCTCTGAATCAACCCAGTTTCTTTCTTTGATTTACTGACAATAAAGATTCTGTTCCCAGTCAGGCCTTCACAGATCAACAGCCCTTCAGACACCTAGGTGGTTTGGTGGGTTTCCAAGCCCTCTAAGCAGTTAGGTAGGTGTTACTGATGGCCCATAAGGAACAGTGACTCTTCTAGATTTATTCATTCTCAATTGCCTTCTTACAAACTAGGAATAGTGGTCTCCCAAAATTAAATGTTATTGCCCACCGGGCCACCAGATTTTTTTTCTAAACACCTGCTAAGCCCAGCATCACTGGTCACAGTTTCACAGCAAAACAGAATTACACTTCAAGATGCAAATATAGTGGTGCTGCTCTACCTCAGCAGCTCCACACCAAGGAAGAACTGAGATCTGCCAGTTCCTTCTTTATCTAGAAAATAACCTTCTGCTGATCAATTTATTAAACGTGGTTTTCTTTTTAATTTCTTTCAGGAGCCCCCCAGAGATGCATTTGTTACCATGAACGTCACAAATGCTCCTGTCCCCCAGACCTCAGAAGGCGTGCGTCTCCTGGGCCCCGCTGGCTCTCCTGCCCCTGGAAACTTGTGCTGCACCAGCAGCCACGCTCCTTGCAGGAACGGGAACCCTGGCACAGCACCGTGCGAGGCAGGAGGGAGCCTCCAAGAGTTTTCTATGGTAACTGAGACTAATGATGACCATTTCCCACCAGTTCCCACAGAAGATGAATACATGGATAAGGATCTCAATACCGCTGATTATTTATCTTTACTGAGTCGGACTGCCAGTAAAACCGTGTCGTCATTTTCAGAACCAATGGAGGCAGGGGAAAATGACAGCTTAAATCAGTACTTCTCAGGGGTTGGGAGCACAGAGGACGTATCCAACTCTCAAGGCTCTCACCCTTCCTCTGACATGGATAGGGCACACACTGTCACGGACAAACTTCTTCAGAAATCTTGCCAACATGCCCACAGTTGCGTGAAGGAAACGGGCAACAAAGACACAGATCGTTTTGCAACAAACTATGACTCAGAGAAGATCTGTGTGAGGTGTGGCATTTCGTACAGGGAATCTCCCAGAAAGTGGAGCAAACCCTGTTGTGCTGTGGCTGACAGTGCCTCCACCTCCCCAGAAACTGCGTCCTATGCACAGTGCACCTGTGGCTTGAATGTTCTCTCTGCTGGTCAGAGCACTTTAGCAAGCAATCATGGTGTGGAAGATGCATCTTCGGATAGTACCAACATGAAGTACCAGAACACAAACAGAAGCACTTCAGGGACAAACAGCAGCACTTCAGACCTCCCTCCAGCATCTGGTAAGCTCATTAGGCTTGTCCTGTACACTGTCATATAGGGTTATCCTGTGTGCTAGCTCAGTACTATTCAGAGGGTCTGATTTAGGAGGAGAGAAGAATAAAACGATGCCTTTTTCACTCAATTGCCCTGAAACTAGTCTGAAAAAAAACACCCTGAAATAGTAAGACCGTTTGTTTTGTAGTGAATTCTGCAAATAGTATGAGCACTGTGTGGGACCATTGTCCTGCCCTGATCTAACCAGCAATGCAGAACCTATCTTCTGTCTGTCACTACAAAGGCCAGGCAATTCTGTTACTGAAGCATTTTGGTGATAGCAGATGTGTGTATTGGAGAAAACTTAGAAGGAGGAGGGACCTAGATGCTGAGTCAAGAAAGGATGCATAACACTCAGACAGACAATTTTCTATTCAACGGTCTGCATGCCCATTTTTGCCATTAGGTTTAAATCCAGTTGCAATTATATGGTAGTCAGTGAAACTCCAGCTGGAGCTGTAACCTGGTGGTCACAATCAGGTCTAAGAGATTATGTTCAATTTTAGCTCTTTTAGCTCTTTCTCTGTGTTTCAATTTGCTAGGATATAAGCCTTCACCTAAAAGTAATTTCATACCGACATTGTTTCTCCATACACAAGTGCTCTGTCCCCTACACAACTCTGTAACGCCGTCACAAATTTACTAGTTGACTGCCAATTTACTAATTGAGTAAATATATCAAAATTGTCAAATGAAAGCAGGGGAGAAAGAATCACTGAAGCAAAACTAGCAGAGGGAAGTTATGAGCCTTTTCTGGATGAAGCCTTCCTCCCTGAGACTTTTTTTCAGTATAAAAGTCTGCAATCTGCCTGTCATGTGTTATTAGTCATTTTAGATTACAATCTCTTAAAGTCCGATGCTCTATTTTTATTTATGTCAATGCACTGCCAACTGTAATGAGACCTTAGTTTTGACTGGGACATAAGTATTACTGTGATACACACAGCAGTTGTAAGCAGTTGCCCTTCTTTAAAACCACATCGTGCCTTAGAGTTTCTTACGGAGACATTCTTGTCAGTCTGCCAAAGCCCAAAAGCAACACTTTTGAAGACCCTTCCCCTCTCAACACGCACACGGTGTGGGAATGTGAAAGTGGGTAGTGTTCATCTTTCTAAGAGCAGATACTCTTTCTGCTGCTTCTGTTCCCTGACACAGTTTCACTGCCTGGTCTGTTCAAAATTTGGCAGTAGTAAAGAGAACATAGATTATCTTTTTTGTTGTTGTTGTTGGAAGGTGGCTCTGAGCTACAACTGAAAGTCAGGTCGTATTTGGCACTGCAGAAGTACTGCTTTTCTTTCTAAATCTGACATGAAGAGGAAGAGAAAATATTAAGGAACAACAGGGCAAACGGGAGAGGTTGGATTTAAGCAATATGCTAGAAAGTGCCATCTTAGATCTGCAGTGCAATTCTTTATATGGGATTTTAATTGCATCTGTGCCTTCGGGTATGTACATGCTATAGTGCCATCTGGTGAAACCTGAGCACAGATACAGTGTTCCTAATTTTTCAGGCAGGACTGCCAGCAGGTACTGACTGAGCTGTGGCCAGTATCAGAGCGTGGGTTAGTTAAGCTGTAGGTACAACGGCTTGCTGCAGAGGGTTTTTTCTGTCTGCAGAATGGCCATGTCCTGCTGGTGACACCTGGTTGCACGAGGAGTGGGACAGGGCTTAGCCATAGCTTCCACACTGAAGCATCCCGGCCACGCTGGGGCTGGATGTGGAGCTGCATCAGTCATTTTGCTGGGCCTTGTGAAACGCCCAGATGGAATAAACGTGCACATGAAAAAAACTTTCTGTAAAGCTTCCCAAAGCAACTGAAGCCACCAGGCTTTGCACACAGTCATGCTAAGACAGAATAATACAAAAGAAGGTGGATGAAAACTGGAAGAAAAAGGGCATGGGTAATTCCATGAAGTTTTGGTTTTAGTTCCCTAACTCTCAAAATGACAAGAGAAATTGCGAACTCTGTCCCTGCTGTGAAACAACCCTAGAGAACCAAAGCAAACCTCTGGACAGAGGTCGCTTACAGGGTCACCACCAGAGATGGAGGTAAACCTTCAAGCGCTCTTTCAAACCCCCCAAGCCTGGAGGCAGTCAGAACATGAAGCATCGGTTCATAAGCACCTCAAGTCATGTATAGGGCTACAGCATAAAGCATGAGTGCAGGAAGACTTTGGTGACTCACGATTAGGAATGGTTTTGCAGAGCCTTTCACTTCCATATCCCAAACCAGCCCACTTCAGCAGTGACAAACAGTTCTTACCACCTAAAGGCCATTAGATGGCTCAGAGAAAATTAATCGTCTGCATTGTTCCAGTTCTTAGTGAATAATTAATCTGTTGTCGTATTTAATATCATCAGGTAGTCTGAAGAGATCAAAAGGCTGAAACATTGCAGAGAACAATGCCTTCACTTATCCTCTGACGGTGTCTCTTATACTTTCTAGGTTGGAAGCACATCTCTTAATGCAATCCAGGAAGCTCTTGTGTCCATTTTCTGTGCTTTTGGGCCTCAAATACCCTTTTGTTTCAGCACAGTGTCTTCATAAAGCAGTGAGAATTTTCCAGCCACATTCAACTAAACATTATAAATCTGTTAATTTGCCCCCCCACACACTGTCATATGTATTTCTAAATTCTTGATCTCATACTGAGCACTGGTAAACTTTTCCACCACACCTTTTGTGAGTGACAGGCAATCTGTATAAAGCCAAACAGTTATTTTTGTAGTCCCATTATGCCTAACAGTTGTGTTGATGGCAAACAGCCGAACAGAATCGAACACGGGGGAAGCAACCAGCAGGGGAAAAATCTCCCACAGAGAAAACTTTTATTGACACCTCATGTTAATCAACAGCACTTGGAAAGAAAGCAAAGAGCTAGCAATGCAGGGGTTTAGCTAAAATAAATAGGATTGCTTGAGGGGGGCTGTTAGAGAGACGCTGGAGTGGTACCCAGACTGGGTTATGAGCAGGCACAGGTCCTAACTCAGCACACCTGGAGCCCAATGTCCATTGCTGAAGTGCAAACATCACCCGTGGCCACCAGAAAAACAGCATTTCTCTGGGCTGGGCCATGCTTAGCTGCAAGGAAAATGGGAACATCTCAAGTGTTGAGGAACATAATGAGGAAAGGCACAAAATGTCTAAAAGGTGTCAGATCAGTCTGCAAGTAATGATTAAGTGAAGCACAGCAGGAAGAACATTTCTTAGGAAGAGTTTTCATAGGCTAGGAAGATTTTTTTTTTTAATGTGGTTGCTTCAGTTTGTTTAATTTTCAAACTTTAACAAGTTTGTTAGTTTGTTGTTGAAAGTTTGCTCTTAGTTATTTTCTTTCTGCTCTGAGGGCAGTGTATTAATCCCCAGAACCTGGTTCTGCTGTCACTTGAGCCAGTGACCCAGTCCTTGAATGGCAGGAAGATTGAATTTATACTGAAAAATCTCTAACCGCAGGCAGACTGACTGACACTGTAACTCTGTTAGGTTGCTATAATATAGATTCTGTCTCTTCACTGGAGTCAGCATATATCCAGGTAAATCCATGAGGGCACTGGGTGAGTACTGGAGCGTAGCTACGTGGAGGATCAGGACAATATAAGATAATCGTATAAACTCTGTGTCATTTGGACACTCTGTGACAGTATGGTCTGATGTTAAGTCCTTTGTATTTATTCAATAAGCCTGCTACCTAGCCCACACAGTAGGATTGGTTGTTTACCAAAGGGAAAAAAAAGCCCCAATGATGCCTGGGACTCTAAAAAAAAAAAAAAAAATCTCTCATAATCAGAAATAATGACCATTTCCTCACAAAACACGGGCAGAGGCAGTTTGGACGCAGCTTGTGCATCGGGCAGCATGGGGAGCATGAGATGGGGGTGCTCTCTCTTGCTTCCCAGAGTGTGATTGAGAGAGAAAATGTTTCCAAGCCTTCCAGACAGGCTCCCTGTGGATGACAGGCTTCGTCCTGAGGAGGCAAAAATGGAAATAATTAAAAGGTCCAGTGGAAGGCATTAATTATAAAAGCATCCTCATGTCACAGGGAAAAAATAATGGAACAAGAGTAAAGCTACCACAGCAGATTAAGGTCGCTGCGCTATGCGTCAATCTCGTGAGGGGAAAATATTAATCTTTTGTGTCTTCTTTTCTCCCCCTCCCCTACTTCCCCAGGAAATGTGACTGGAAACAGTAACTCCACCTTTATCTCAAGTGGACAAGTAATGAATTTCAAGGGCGACATCATTGTTGTCTACCTTAGTCAAAACTCCCAGGAGGGGGCCTCGGCCACGGGGCCAAGCGAGGAGAACGTGGGCAGCCCTGTGCAGGAGGAGAACCTCAGCCGCTGCGAGACTTTCGCCGGCAATGCCCAGCACTACAAGGAGAAGTGTGCCGAGCTGCAGGCCTCCTGCCCAGTGGCAGGGAGCGGGGAGCCACGGCGGACCACCGGACAGCTGGCCCAGGAGCAGGGCACGTCCCACCACGGCCGGGCCTCACAGCCCGTGCAGGAGGAGGGGAGGCTGGGACACTTCTCAGAGAAGGTGTTGAACTGAAGTGAGCCGGTGTCCTTGCTGCGGGCCCAGGTGTCATGACAGATTGGGAGACTGTTGCTCCTGGGGTCTCCTGGGAAACATTTTCAGCTGGAAAGGACCCTTGTGGGCACCGGTGGCAGTGGTGGTACTCCTGCCAAGGAGGTTACCCACTGGGGACATGCACAGCCGTACTGCCCCCATCGCAGAAGCAGTGTCAGGGCTCTCTCCTCTCCCTCACAGGGTGGTGGGTTCCCCTGCCTTTCCCCCCAGCTCCCTGGCACCACTTCCCCGGCAAGCAGCAAAGAGAGAGCGAGCTGAGGAGATCCTTCAGGTGTGCGGGGACTTGGCCTGGAGGCGAGCAGCGTTGGTGGCTGGGTGCGCGGGGTGCTCCCAGAGAGGGGACAACATTGCGGAGGACCGCACTGAAAGGGGCCCAGGAGCTTTGCCTCTGGGTTTTCTTTTTTGCAACTATGCTGCACCTATATTACTGGGTCTTGGGCCTCCTCGATGCCTCTGGTGGTGGAAGAAAGTGGTGACCACATCTGCTGCTGAGCCTAGTGCCACTGCTGACCTTCTCCCCCCCGGGGGATCATGCAGATGGTGTTAGCCCTTCCCATCCTTCCCCAAGGGAGCAGATGCTCCAGTCTCAAATCAGCGCCAGAGCCGAGATCCTGGTCTGTCCCTTACTAACTTGTGGGTAGGAATAGGTGTAATGCTGCCCCAAGTGCATGACAACGGGGAAAATAGAGCTGACATGTCTTACAAGCGTATCAGATTAATCCTGAACAAAGAGCATTTATGGTTTTGGACCCTGATTCACCTCTGCCTTATTGCACCTCACTAGAGGAATTCAAACCCTTGAAGGTGAGTGACATGTGCCTGGCATGAATAACGTCACTGATGTTAAAGTCACAGAGCTGCTAGCAGGCGTAGGAAGGGTGAAAGATAACTAGCTGTGGCTATTTCCTGAGTGATGGGGGAGGGAGGTATTACCCAAAGATGGAGAATTTGCTCAGGATCAAACACACATTCCTTCGTCTTGCCCAAACAATGCTGTCATTCCCTCTGATGTTTTCATCAGTAAGCAGAGCTTTACTTCGGTAGCATGAAGCTATTTCCAGAGCTCGGCCTGTCTGAGCTGAAATCAGAGTGTGGCCACTGTCACACTGAGAGCTGATAGTCAATGGGATCAAAGGGTTGGATTTAAAGAATAGTAGTTGTAGTTAGAAAGGAGTCTCAGCTACTCAGTTGGCTTTGGTTCAGGTCCTGTATCCTGCAGCCTCATCCAGCTGCCACTGTGAAGAGAGAAGTGAAGGGAACAGAGACTCAAGGAACTCCCAAGAGGAAAAGATAACATTTTTAATGATTTCCTGACAAAGGGTGTAATTTTCTGATGTTCTCCTGCACGCGTGAGCGCTGCAGGAGGCTATCTTCAGTCTGAGCCTTCAGGAAGGTCAGTGCTGTGTTTCCTGTCGGACAGCAAAGGGATCTCTTACCTAGTGTGAACTCATCTGTCCCGACGGAAAAGATCTCTGGTGAGGTGGGCTCCTCTCTGTGGAGGTTTTTAGAGCCGAGGTGTTCAATGCTCTGTTTGCAGTTGTACTGGTCTGTGGGTGAAGAGCACCTATAAAGCTGACAAAGTGGCCACTGTGTCATGGTGAGCTTCTCATCCATAAAACAGAAGGGTAGGCTTAGCCACCTTCACCTCTCAGGAGAACAATTCTGCATTATTTATATATCTGGCATATAAAGTTCAGCACAGACATGCAAGACTCTCTCTTGGGTGGCTGACAAAAATGGCGCATGAACAACCAGTCTCCATTTCACCTCTGCATGGCCTTCAGAAAACTAGACCATCCTAGCCTAGACTTGGCCAGGCAGGTAGGTTGTCCCATTCAGTGATGACCCAAGCTACCTCTGCTTCTTTGAAGGTGCGTAACTGAGGCTCTCTTTTTATCTGTGGTATTCTTTTGTCTTCCCTGCTGGATCCTTTAACAACCTCTTTCTAGCCTCTTCTGGTCTAATTCTGTATCCCTGAGGCATTGGTGCAATAGGGACAAGGAAACAGAGCTGCCATCAGATTCACACAAGGTGGTGCAAATATTTTCCCACTTCATTTTTTGAGACGTATTTTCCTGGAAAGCTTTCAACCAACCCCACTTGCAGGGCAGGAGGGACCGAATTCTTGTGTTCGGCTCTGGGTAAACTACCTGTCTGCAGGTCTGTCTCCTCCTTCTCCCTCTGCAGCTTCTTTCTTCCCATGGTTTGTATCTGCCACCAGAGAGTAGGGTCAAAATCCTGATTTCAGAGAAGACAATGGGAAGTTTACTACGTGTTCTCAGTGAGGACACGTTTTTCACTCGCTGAATCACAGGATCCTACTGAGCAAGGATTGAAACTAGGATCATCAGCAAGCGTGAAGAAATGGGTCATAATGATCTCAGCACTGTGGCTGCCCCCTTAGGGGAAATGCGATGAGCCAACAGATCCGATTCTTTTTCTTCCTCCAGAGTCTACCCCAAAGTGAAGAAACCATATCACACTCATCAGCATGCTGCACCTTCCCTGGGTCTCTGCCTGGCTGCTTAGACATGGATTCTAAAGGGACGACTTTACCCTCGTGCTTTCATTTGTTGTCAGTTTGGAGGTGGGGCTGATTTTTAACATCTGTTTGTACAACGGGGCCCTACACATTGGGCACTAATTTGGAGGCTTCTGGCTGCTATTGTAATACACATAATTAATGATAATAAAAGTCTTAAAGATCTACTTGAGTGAAGATTTTATGAAAATTAGTTAAGAGAATCAAATATGCTATTATTTGCCTGTCCTGGTTTGACATTATTATATGCCTGTTGCTTAAACCACAACAATGCCCATGCTTATTTTGACAAAAAAAAAAAAAAATCAGACGTGAGTATAAAAACATTCCTGGTTAGGCTTTTGTAACATTTTTTGTATGTAGAATTGTTTTAACAAAAAGTGCTTCCCTTCCCCAGTATGTGCTATAATAATGCACAAGCACATCTGTGCACAGGTGTGGAACCAACCAGAAGCTCTCATAGTTCTGGTGTGGTAATGCTTTACAGCTGAGAACTGAGCACTCATTCCAACTCATTCCTGAAGTCTCCTCCTGCACACCGTGCATTTTTACAAGTCTTTCAGTCTGAGGAGCCACAACATAGATTATCCACAATGAATATACTCCGCTCTTGAAACACAGCCGCTTCAGGCCTGGAAGGGCAGCAGTAATTCTGCATATAACCACGGGAAAACGAGGAGCAGTCTTTTGCATAAGGGCACTGGAGCAGCCCTCCTTATCCCCATGGAAAACAACATGATATTAAAGATCAATATAGACAATAGCTGCTGTTAATCTGCGTACTTTGCTACGTGGAAATCACTCTGCAAGGCTTATAGCATACCTGGGAGTAGCATCACTAAAATGTTGTAATTTCTACTTGTCCATTCAGGTTCCCTTCCTTTTATCATATTGATGGTAGCTGAGCAACTACACCCCATGTCTATTACAAAACAGAACCCTGCTGAAGGATGTCTTTGTGCTGATCAGGTATTTAATAGGGCTATAGCTTTATCAGATACCTCCATTCAAATTAGGCAGTAGTGCCCCCTCACCACCATCCTTAAAAGCCATATACAGTGACTGGAGAATTCAGTTCTGCCAGCACATGATACTGGACACAGTTAAATGGCTGTAAATTCTTCATGTGGAAAAGTTATTTCTGGAGTTTGTAATATATATTATTAATAGACACTTAATAGTAGTGACTGGAAAATTGAAGTGTATTTGACCAAGCTGCCTAAGGTTTCTTGCAAGGAATGCTGAACCACTCCAAACCTTTCCCTGCTCATTGCAGGGGGGGTTGGGCTAGACGACCTTTAAAGGTCTCTTCCAACCCAAGCTATTCTATGATTCTATTCTATGATTACAAGCTAGTTTTCCAAACCTCTTTCCAAATGGCTGTTGCCCTTTCCAGTCCATCAGGGATACTTTTGACCTGAAAGGCACATGCTAGGACAACCCCCCCACAGCCTGCCCAGGGCACTGCTTTGCAGCACTCCGGCTTGGAGACATGGGCACCACAGTGCTCTGCCTGGCAGCATTTGGCCTAAGAGGGCGTCCATCCTCTGCTCCCCATGATGCTAAATACCACATTCACCTTGGCTGAGTTGCAGTAGTATCTCTGGAAAAATCAAACTCGTAATCTTGTGGCAGGCACAGTCACTGCTGAAGCAAGGGGAGTACGATCCCAAGTGCTGATGGGAACGAGTCCCATTTCAGACTGAAAGATTGCCGTGAAATGTGTTTCTCCTCTCATCTTCTTGCCTGGTGCTGTTTTAATTTCCAGAATGAAGACTGAATTGTTGCTATACAATAAATGATTTCTCCCAGAGCCCTGCCATGCAAGTTTACTCTGCCTTTGTGCTGTGGTGTCAATCACCTTGCTGAGTGGGAAGGTTGAAGCAGAAAACAAATCACATACTAACAGCTTCCTAACATCCCACTCTATTTAACCTGATTACATGGTGAAAGGTACTACTTTTTGTACAATTGCTGAGTCCACATCAGCAAAATGTTGTAAGAAGCAAATCAAAGAGCAGCATTCTTCCCCCTCAAATTCAGAGGACGAACTGCTGTTGTTTAAGTGGTGTTGCTGATCACACATGGTGTCCTTACCTGAGGAGATGGTGCAGGAGAAATTCCTCTCTCTTCCTTTTTTTCCTGTTCTTGTAATGTTTTTTATACTTTCTGATTTTCTTCCTATTTTCACTGTATATGGGATGATTTACTTGAGCTGAACAGATGTTATTTTCAGTCTTTGTTATGCCTTCAAACCCATTCTACCCAGCGATCAGGTCTCCACTCCTCAATGAGCAATGTGCAGTTTTTGAATGTACAGTCAAGGGTGTTTGGTGTTTGTACCCTAGGGGGTTCCCATGAGGGTCCCCCCCTTGACAGACCGTAGCAGATACTTTTGTTTCCCATTGCTCTTACTTCA